CAATGCTCCATTTTCAAAATAAAAGCATTTTAAGATTGGACTCTTATAGCTCTCCGTGGAAATTTTTTAAAACCATCATCACTTTCATAGTTCGTCTATTCTCCACGAGTGCCAACTTTGATTTGCCAATTGCAATCGAACAGAAATTCAATCACCTTTATGTTTCGTGTGCTTCTCAAATTCAAGTAGTTTTTGGAATCAGAAGCAATATTCTAATTCTATTAATTAATTGATCTTTGTTGGTTGAATAATAGCACCAAGAAATGTGCAAAATATTGCGATGCAATCAATTATTATTTTGCACGTAAATCGAATCAAATATACAAGTCATTTGAAATGCTAGCTTCTAGCAAGGGTTGCAAGATAATTTAGGAACAAATCCCTGCTGCCGAATTGTATTTTGTTTTCTCCGCCCATCTCTCCCTCTGAGTATTTCTAATTGCAATAGCCTCACATTTAATCTAGTAAGAATGATAAGCATGTCCGCACTCAGAAGATGTCCAAATTTGCGAAGAAATTCCTGGTTTGGCAAGCCATCTGCACGTGCGGGAAGCGGAGTGCACCTTTCGTGACCCAGGACACGATGAACGGACAGGTGTACATAAAAGAGTGCCTCCAGAAGCGGCTGCTTCCTCTCCTGAAGGCCCACAACGTCCCAACAATCTTCTGGCCGGATTTGGCCTCATGCCACTACTCCAAGGTCAATTTCGTGCCGAAAATGTTCGTGACGACTAACGTGCCGAAGTGACAGACGACTAACTGGCGAAGGAATCCATTCAAATAATGTGGTTCACTGTAATAGAATTTTCTTGGAAGCTTGTGCCATCATCCACCAGATGGGTTAGTTTTTTTTGTTTTGATTTGAACAAAGTTGATTTTGTGTACAATGATTCTTTGACAGTGTGCAAAGAGTGCGTATCATTTTGTAATTTTTTTATGCATCTCAGTTTTGAGTAGACTGAAAGAGATAGAACCAAAACATTCTAGTACATTTGGTGAAAATGCTAGTTCAATCTAGTAGTAGCAACAGTAGTAGTGTTGCCATGTGTTACAATCCAGTAGTAGTGGTGTTGCCATGTGGTACACTGAAAAATTGCAATAGCAGGTTAGTCACCAAAGTTTTCGAGCTGCTCCGTCTGTCACTTCGTTTGTGCTCCCAACACTCCGGAGCTCCGCCCCATCGAGAAGTACTGGGCGATTATGAAGCAGCACCTTCTTAAACGACCTAAGGTAGTGAAGACAGTCGAGGAACTGAAGAAAGTATGGGTTTACATGCAAAAAACGGTTGATTCACAGGTTGTGCAGAATCTTATGGCCGGGGTTAAGGCCAAGGTGCGGGCATTTGCGTATGGACTGTAAATAAAATATGAGTAAAATGGTAAAATGAAGTTTAATAGTTATTTCTCAATCCCTGAAAATTTGATGGCAATCGGATGAAAACTCGAATTTTGCGAATCAATTTTGTGTGTGGCAATTTCATCGTGGACACCCTTTAAACCATTTGGAAATGTTCGTTTGGCTCAGATTTTGACTGTTCATTTGGCTCAAAACATTCTCTCCGCCCATCTCTCCCTCTGAGTATTTCTAAGTACAATCATACTCTATGCCCAGGGGAGTCGAGAAGTTTTCCTAGACCGGCCCGGGAATCGAACCCAGCCCAGCTCCGCCTTTACCGACTTAGCTAAGGGAGGCCCCAATAAAGACTGCTCTTACAAGTGCAGATCGTCTGACATAATCTTGTCGGTTGGCGATTTCAACCTTCCTAATTTGCTATGGCATCTTGACGAGGACCCGATGATGTCCCGTAACGTGGGTAGATCACCTTTTCGTGGTACATAACGGGATGTAAGATCTACCACCGATTCCTAGTCCTGACTACTTCAAACTAGGGGAACAGGATTTTTCAGTAATCCAAGGAACACATCTTAGTCCTTGTTACTTTTTATGCCTTGTTGATAGTGACAAGACTCGGCTTTGTCTACCGAGGATGATCTTGAAACAAGGAAAAAAATGAATTAGTTCTCTTCATCTATGTGATTCCTAATCTTCTACTCGTTGTTCCCTAGTTTGAAGTGGTTAAGACTAGGGTTCTGATGCACGGTCATTATCGGTGTCATACCCAGCGTTGCCAGTATTCCAGATTTATCTGGATTTTCCAGATTTTTAGTCATCTTGCCAGATACACAGACAGACCACGTATGTTTCCAGATTTTTTATATATGTTCCAGATTTTCCCAGACTTTTTGAACATGTTGCTTTAAAAATATCAGTGCAATTGATTTACCCTCTAATAAAAAAAATCCAAACTTGCTACTTTAATTATTAACATTTATTATCAGCGTTGGACTTTATTGGAATTTTAAGGTAATTCTGAAAATAGTTCACAGTGAAATGTGAGGCGAATTCCTTGTGTAATCAAAGGAGAACTTCAAGCTAATTCTGAGTAGAGTTCCATCCATCTTTTTGGCCTTCGTAGTCGTGCGGCGTCACCCGTTGTTCAGGCGTATTGTGTGTGCCACGAAGTAAGGGTTCGATTCCCGCTCCAGCCGGTGCAAAATTTGACAACCTGAAAATTTCCCCACTGATCTACTGGGTGTGGCGTGTTGTCCGTTGTTTAGTGTTAAATACTCAGTCTGTACAACCTCTGGTTGAAGGCGGTTTCAAATGTCTTATCAACTCTGTTGACAATTGCATGGAGATTTTGTGAATATAGGAAATACAATCCGGAAAAGAAATTATAGAAAATTCTTATGATGAAACTTAATGAGTATGCTGATACGAATGGTAGGAAAAATTTCAATGGATTTGCTGTCCAATGTTTCTATGGAGATTCATTTTAATAAAATTTTAAGACATTTTAACGGAATTATGCGCAATTTCTGGGAGAATTTCAAGGCCATTTTGGCAAAGTACTTGAGTACTTAGGAAATACTGAAGAGGATTTAAAAATAATTTTAACCTTACCAAAGGAAATTATTAAGAATATTTTAAGAATTTCATAAGGAAAACTGGACACAGGGAATCCAGGGAATTGTGGAATTGTAGAGTAATGTGTAAGATATTAAAAAAGGTAATGCTATGCATTCTGCTATGAATGTTACTGGAAAAGATTATTTTAGGGGAATCCAGAAAATAAGTATGATGAAATTTTAGGATCATTCAAATGGAATTCAAACAAAAGGGCAAAGATATCCTGTGAAGAGTTCCAAATAAATTCAGACTAACAAAAATTTTCATGATCTGGGACCCAGGAAAAATAGAAATTCCGGAATTTATAATCATTTAAAGATCCTGAGACTTCAAAAATGACACTATCAAACTTTCATTTTAGTAATATAATAAAATTATTCTTTGGCATAACATTATTCGTAATGGTTAGGCGCAAATAGTACAGTTACCTGTAGTTTAGGTAAACTTTGTGTGAGTACCACGATGTTGGGCTTTGATTCCCACTTCAGCCAGATGAATTTAGGTTTAAAAAAAAATGCCTATTGGCTGTTGTGTGTTGTATTGAATTAAATTGTAAATCAGATCAACCTCAGGGTAATATTAGAATTATTTAGAATTAATAAAATCTTTATATTATATGGTACTGCATCAAATCGTAAGGACTACATCGACTTTAAAAAAACATCCCATCAAATTTACTTAATTCTTTGCTTCTCATTCTTTTTTAAAAAAGTTATATTTAAAAAAAAAAAAAACAATTCTAAATATGTTTTCTGCAGTATTTTACCCACATTTAATTCAATTTTTGAACTGCTGCGTAATTGATATTTAAACTTTTGGCCACAATCGTCAATAATTTTCAACTTTTGGATGATTTAGCAATGCTAACAAGTTATTTGCTTTATATAATTTATTTAAACTAGTAATTCATAACGATTCTAGTACTTCAAATAAATTCCAGATGATCATACTGACCAATTTTTACGGAAGATTGGCACATCACTTTGATTACAAAAGCATTATGTTAAAAACAGGATATTTTGGAGCATTCCAGATTTTATATTTTAGCTGGTCCAGATTTTTCTGAAAATGACCTGGCAACGCTGGTCATACCTTAATTTTGTTGCTAAGGAATCCAATTTTGACTGACAAAGGGGCGCGCCTTTGGAGGGTGTTTCAACACTCCGAAGGGTATAAATAGCGGGACCTTTCAATTAGAGTCGGATCCTTGCGATAAAGGCAAGAGTGGCAACTTTAAAAAATATCGAATACTTCATCATTTCTCAATAGTGATGGAGTAGTACGACATGCACTAAACTAAGGACACGGGATATACTATAATAGATCAATTTACTGGTCGCAGTAGTGTTAGGTACCGAACAGAAAAAAAGAGGACATTAATGGATTAATTCCATTGAATCTCTCTACTGTCACTGAGCTTAAGTTGATACTCTATGGAAGCATTAGCGCGAAACTGCAAAAGCACTAATGTCAGCTCCCACAAATCATACAAATTTGAAATTGCTACATTTTGTTTGCTGCGCTTCAACAAAAATCGAGTACCAATTTCAAATTTGTATGTTTTTAAGAAGCTGACATTAGTGCTTTGGGTTTTCACGAAACACCGTGTGTCACTGTCGCTGAGCTTAACTTAAAAACTTTTCATTTTAATGGGACAATAATTGATTAAATAGGTGTGCTCGGAGGTTATATGTATTCATCGACTTCCTCTGTCGTTAATAGCTCAGCTGCAAAAGCATTCTTTGTCTTGTTTGATATTTTGGACGCTAGATATGAACATCCTTTATCAAATGTGTCGTAAATAGTGCGAAATTTCTTTGCATAGCCGTGGTTATAAAAATAGAAAGTCGAGGAAGAGAATCGATCAATGTAGATAGGACCTTTTGAAATGTTCATCTAAATTTGTTAACCGGCTTTGTTCGGGGAATCAGTCTTCGACAGGAAATCTTTCTAAATAATGCTGAATTACGATTAAGAAATAACTTTATTTGGTTGAACTCCGTCCCTAAATCATCTTAAGCTACCAATTTCATTCAATATTACAAAGCTAGTTTGAATGACACGTTCCTCGCAACAGCTCCCAACTTCTGCTACCTCTAATCAGTCATCTTATAGTTAACGATCGTATCCATCTTGTGCAGCCCCGTCGAAAACGACTTGAACTGTACGGTTTGCGCATTCTGGATCTGCACCTCGCCGGTTTCGTTCCACTTTTCCGGAATGTCGGTCTTCTTCAGCGTATGAATCAGCACATCGAACGTACAGATGCATTCAATCAGTGGTAGGTAGCTGACCGACGCCGCCAGCTGCCTCATCACGTCCCTGATTTCCGCCTGGATCTTTTTCAGTTCCTTCGACGATGTGGGATTGTTCGGATCGATCTTCGAGCCATCGCCGGGTTCGTTCTGGACCTTGAAATCCCAACTCTCCAGGACCTCTTTGGTGTGCACGTTGGTGATGATCATGGTGATCTTCTCCACTTCGTTGTGGGTGAGCCACTCCTGTACCTGGCAGAGGACGTGCTGAAGGAAGGTAATGATCTTCTCCTCTTTGGACATTAGGACCGTGATGCCGTACTGCTGCACGCTGGTGAACTGTTCCGGGGGGTAGATTCCCCGTTGGAACAGGATCGCGTTGATGCCGTAGTCTGTGGAATGGTAGAGGAATTTCGTAGGGACACAACGGAAAATTTGAAATTTGTTTTATTGGTTACGATAGTCTATTGTTATAAACTGTGTATCAGATCAAGGATGAAACTTTAGAAAAATTACTAAGATCCAAAAATTTAAAAACAACTTACTCAGGTACTCCGTTAGGATTGCAGCCGATCCCTTAAGGGTTATGGCGTTCTGAGTACTCGTAGCCATTTTGAGGCAGATTCTTCTGTGTGTTCTTTAGGAACTAGATGCACTTTTTTGCAATTCAAACGTTATTATTCGTAAAACAATGTTAAATTCGAGTAAAATGTGTTCACTGAATGCAGTAAAATGTAACGATCTTTGCATCGAATTTGGATTTTGTTCCCCTCTCTGTGATCAGCTGTCAAAAGCTGAAAGAGGGCGGCCGATTTTCTCGCGCGGAGATTTTAGAGGTGAACACACGGTTGGCGGCTAGACTTCTGCACCGCTAATCATTGCTGAACAGTTTTTTTTTCTGCCGCCGATGGAGGCAATAGTTTTGCATATTATTTATTTATTTGAATCAAATTATTAAGTTTAGTAAAGCGGCCTTTACGTCTTGTTTAGCATATTGCAACTGCGACTCATTGCACTAAAGAGACTGAATTGGGTAAAGAGGCGACCATTCCATCCATTTGACAGGTCTTCTGTTCGATTGGAATAAGTTTTCCTATGACTTTGACAGATAATCGATTGTTCCAATTTTGACATGTCGTCTCTTTATAAATTCGTTCCTTTTTTGACAACAATAAATAGTGCAAGTGAGAGGGTGAACTCACTATTAAGTAAAAAGAACCAGAGACGAACCAGCCCAAGACTGAAAATCTCTTAAATAAAGAAAAAAAAAAAAGTAAAAAGAACTCAAATTTTCGGTAGTATTTTTTCTCCCTGAACACACTTAGATTTTTTTTTTTCAGAGATTGATACCACTACTCGGCATTTTAGTTTGCTGGACCTCAGTGAAAAACTTGCCGAGATTTAGCTAACAAACGGCAATTTTGCCGGGATCTAACAAATTAACAAACTGAAATTTTGCTAAAATCTCAGTAAAAATAAATGCCGAGCTGCTCGGTGGTGCCAATCTCGGCAAAAAAACTAAGTGTGTATGTTTTGGAGAATTTGAATTAACGAAACTCAAATATGGGTCCGATTGGCCGTATGCATGTTTGGGAATTTGAGTGAACAGAGCTCAAAAAATGAGTCAATTTCAACGGCTGAGCTGTGAAAGGTTCCATACTGCGGGCGGCAAATCGTTTTATTCAGCCGCCAACATGTTTACATTGGTACAGGCGTCTAATCAACGATTTTTTCTATTATGAAAACATTTGTAGTGTTCACATGGATAGTAAACCTGAGTTCACACTCAAAAGGTCAGAATTGCTAGGAGAGATCATAATGAAAAAAATGATGTCATTTTTAAATGTTTGAATGAACCTAGATTCTATTGATCTATTTGAAAAAAAACGCATCAAAAATATGCGTTAAACGGCAAGGCTGTCATCCGTGACACAAACACAAGGGTTGAAATAAAAAAAGGAAGTACTCACGTCAGAATTGCTTTAATATCGGAATCGAAAGCGACATCCACACAAGTTTCGCCTTCCTCGTCCGGAATGGTCCGGTCTGCTCCGTAGTCCACCAGTAATTTCACGCAATCTCGATTTCCACAGCTCGAAGCATAGTGCAGAGCTGTTTGCCCTCCGGAATCCTTCAGATCAATGTTCACCGTAGGCACTTGAATGACCAGCCGCAGGATTTCCACATTACCCCGGTCGGCAGCCCAATGGATCAAACCGAGACCTTCGTCGTCCAGTTCGTTGATGACTGTACCGATGTCTTCGCTATTGAAAACTTTCTGCACTTTTTCCATGTTGCCTTCTTTGATAAAATCAACAACTGTCTGCTCCTCCGTTCCAAGAACGGGCTCTTCTTTAGCAAATGTTGAAACCGAAATCCAGGAAGCTTGCTGCGGTTTAAATTCTTCTCCTTCCACATTCTGATCCCATTCCGGTTTCAACCCAGTCAAATGCTGAATGTACCCCTTCATTGCTGATTCTTTGGTCATCTCAAGCAGGTCATTCCATGCGGACCATTTCGCTCGGCCTGATATATTGAAGATTCCCGGTTTTGGTACATTACACTTCCCACTGGTCGCTTGCTTGAAAAACCCATAGAACTTCAGCAATTCCTTCTGCTCAAACTGATCGTGACACAACTCGATGACTTTAGTTGCCCTCGTAAATTCCTCCTCCAACAGGTCCACTTCGTCCTCGAAATCGGACATCTTAAAACCCTAGATTTCTCCCTTCGTCTCACAAAACTAACAAACTACAACTTTTAAATCTAAACTTCTTACATCCGCACGACACATTAATCCGACTGCTGGTAGAAGATGGGTGACTGCTCTAGCACATGCTTCTGTTTCTTCTCCAAATTCTCCAGCGCCGTTCGCTTCTGGAACGCTACGAAACCGAACCCCTTGGAGACGCCGGTCCGACGGTCGAAGATAACCTGGGCCCAGGAAACTTTACCAAACTGAGCAAAGTAATTACGCAACTCCCGGTGGCCTACCGTCCAGGGGATGTTTCCGACGAAGATTTTCAGCGAACGCGATGCGGCAGCAGCTCCTGAGGCCATGACCAGATTATGCACAGTTGGCACAAAGAATCGTAAACTGGAGGAAATAAATGGGAGTTTCAGTCCGGATTATTGGAAGTGGTGGAAGAAGCCTGTAATTACCTTGTACGAGTGGAAAAAAAACTTTCGAAAACTGCAAACGCACGCGATCACATTCGGTTTGTTTATGGGCGGCCGAGAAGAAAAATCGACTAAAATCTTTTTCTCCGGTTTTGACGTTTCATCGCGTGTGCGTTTTGTCGCCCTTCAGAAACAATCCCCATGTAATATTTACACAACTGCTTTATCGATGCGCACTGTGGGAGAAAAGCAATATATATTAAACATTTTATCCCACAAGCATTATGAAGACATACCGTTTAAAAAAAAAATTAGATGGACCATGAAATGTATTGTAACCATGCAAAAGAATTATTGTATAAACAATAAATCGTACTGTCCACAACGATAAAATATCCATCACGATCAGAAGTATGCCCTCGCAAGTGATATTGGTGTGTGTGAGCATTCTTCGGTTCACGCTCTAATAAACAAATACCATAAATAAACGATAACCCGAATGGTAGAACTATTCCACAAACGGTTTGGATGATATCCTGAACACATCGTTAAGCAAAATAACCATACAAATTTTATTAGGGCGTAGAAAGGGCTTTATAAGCTTGTGGGCCGTTTTCAAATGTTATGGCTGAATTGCGTATGTACACTGGAACAAATCGACATGTAAGGTTTATTGGATCCATCTTATAACATAGCAATATTAGAAAATTTATTCATTATATGTGATGATTGATAGATTGCATTGGATTATCACTTGAATACTATGACTGCGATAAGGAATGATTTCTATCGTAATTTTACATACTTAGTACATGATATTTCTCTACTTCGAACGTGGTTAGCGATGGGTAAGATGTATATGAATATTGTCTGATATATTGTATGGTGAGAAAGTGTTGATACGTGGGAACAGACATCTAGAAACTAATGGAAATTAATATAAGTTTGCACTATAAGAATATCCAGTAAAATATACTTGTTTTCGTGATGAATATTTCTCACTAATAGATATATCTTACAAGAAAATCATATATTGAAACTATTGGACAGTCATTTAAGTTTGCACTATATATAGGAAAACATTTATATCTCATTGGAATAGCTTCCTTTGATCTTTGACGTTTGAAGATTGTAAACAGATCGATCGCAATTTGGCTTGCTTCCACACACTTGTTATAAAAACATGATTTTCTGAATTTTGAGATCATTGGACGTTATAATGATATTTTGTCAGGGGGTAATTCACTCTGCCCTTTATGCCTGTGCTGATTATGTTTCTTTGGTGTTTTGGGGTTTCGGAGGGTGTTTCTGGGTGTTTTTACGTGTCGAACTGGCTGTCAAAACGGCAAACGAAACATTATGCTAGCTGGCAACCATAACGTCCACAACGCTAAAAGTAAACAACAATCACAACTACTGGCAGGATTTTTATTAAGCATTTTTTTTTGGTCCGCGACATCATCACCATCCAGTCCGGGTTTAATGGTAAATGTCGTGCAGACGTCAATAATCGAGATTTAAAATGCAAGATATTTATGTTTATGCCTTCAGCGTTTAGGCAACCGCTAGCTGACATCCAGCTCAAGGAGCTCAAAATTATGCACGCGAATTGGGTGAAGGGCGTATGGGAGCAATGCCAGTAAAAGATGGTTAGCACAACGGATACAGTTTTCGGGAAGCATACACTTCCGTTGTTCGACTCGCTGAAGATTACTTGAATGGAGTTTTTCACGCAGAATCGGTATCAGATCTAACAAGTGATCGAAGACACCGGAACGAAGTACATCAGAGCGTTCAAATCGGAGAAAACCAAGGAGAAAATTAACGTTTTGATCAAATCAGACAAATACAATGTCGGCTTGACCAAATTTCTTGGAGCCATTCAATGCAACTACGTATTTATCCTAGTATTTATCCTTCAAATGTATCTTTGACTATTTAAACCGAATTTGAGAGACAATAATAAAAAAAAAATCAATCGTTCAGTGCCAACATTTCAAAGGGGCGTAATTGTATTTGTAAACAATGGCTTTAGCCATCAATTTCTCGTGAATAAAAGCTTACTCATGAAACATAATGACACCAACAGGTAGAGGAATGTTTCCTCTACCAGTTAGCATTGTTATTTTGGAGGGGTAAACTTTTAGTTGCGAGAAATCGACGGCTAAAGCCATTGTTTACAAAAGCAATTACGCCCATTTGAAATGTTGGCACTGCGTTCTTAATCTTTTGAAATTTGAACGGTTAAATTGGTTTGTTTACATAATGAGTAAAGAGACTGAATTGGGTTCTTTAATTTTGAAAAATATATTGGTTTTTCGGCTTCGTTTTTTGAGCCCAACGATATTTTTTTCGAACCTACATACTTTCATCTCGATTTTTAAATCAAGATTTAAAGCAAAATAATAACTTCACTGTTTGAAACTAAACTAACAAACTGACAGCTCACTCCCATACAAAGTGACACCGAGGGGCGCTAATAAGGAGATTTTTGCAAATGTAATCGTTCTTATTTAAAATAGTTCCAGTGTATCAACATTGATGAAATTTTTAATGCAGATTACGAATACGCATTTACCTCAATACCCTTAAAGAACCCAATTGTGTAAAGAGGCGACATCTTATGCATTTGACAGGTCTTCTGCTCGATTGGAATAATTTTTCCTGCACGGTAAGAAAAAAATACCCAACGGTTCACTTTTACCTACTTTTGACTAGTTTGTCTCCTTTTCTCCTTCTAATGTTGTCAATAACGGAGGAGCAAAACCACCCAATAGGGGTAGTTAAGTGTGGGAACTCAACGTTGAGTATAATCATATTTACCTACTTTTGGGTACAACTAACTTACTTTTGGATAGAAAGCTAGTGGAAAATTCCATTCGAATTGCACACAAGTAAATTAAAACTACTTTGGCCCGCTTTACCTACTTTTGGGTTCCTGCACTATAGTGCCGAAATGAGTGAAAAGAATTTACTTTTGGGTACTTTTTTCTTACCGTGTATGTCTTTGACAGATAATCCATTATTCCAATTTTGACATGTCGTCTCTTTATATAAATGCAGGCTCTTTAATAATGAGATGTACAAAACAATGAAAAAACATATCAGGGCATCAGGCATAACATTTGATAACGGCACAAAAGCATTTGTAAACAAACATTCTAAGGTCCTTTACACGCGACCTAACGTACGCTCACGCAAACCAATACCACTTTCGCAAAGCAGATAGTTGCTCCTGTCCGATGATGTTGTTGGTTTGCGTGGGCGTACTTTGGTTCGCGTGTAAAGGGCCTTAGAAAGTTTGTTTACAAATGCTTTTGTGCCGTTATCAAATGTTATGCCTGATATCATACACAGCAAAAAAATGTAATATCGATCAACGTAATTCAAGCTGATGTATGAAATAAAGATGTAATAGCAAAAAGCAGATACAATATTACATTAATGGATGTAATTTTGTTCGCAAAATCGATGTACATCGTACAACGTTATATTACACAACCGATGGATTGACCTGGTTGCAGCAGTTTGGATGTAATATTCAACAACTTTTTTTTCTGTGTACTGTCAAATATGAATGATAAAATCAGATCATGGATTGGTCTATTATAAACAACAAATTATATAAACATTCTTGAAAGTGGTGCCAGAATGAACCACTTCATTCGAGCAGTTAAAATGACATTTACTACCACTCGAACTTTGAAATAAAACATTATTTTGAGATTTTTTCTTCTACTGTGTTACCTGACTTATAATGAATATACGTTATATACGAGTACCCCGAACACTTTGCATAGCATTTGCAATGTAAAATTAGACGAACTATATGTTGTATTCGGGGTACTCGTATACAACGTATATTCGTTATAAATCAGGTAACACCGTAGAACCACGAGAAAAGTAGCCATCATTTGTACGTTTAATAAAAAAATAGAAATTAGTTGGTCCAGTTTTGTGAAATCGCTGGTAGAAAGTCACACCAAAACTGCTTGACAAAGTAGTCAATTGATTAATTTTCACCCGGGAGAAAGGCTTTCGGGCCAGCTTCCCTTTTAAGCAGCACTCGCAGAGGTAATACGTGTTTCACAATCATTTAGATTAAATCCACTTACCAGATCTTCAGTCTCAAGTCGCCGGATTACCTCTGGATCTCGGTGCCCCATGCGCCGATGCCAAGTATGCTAGCACCGTTCATGATGCTCGCAGCTTGCACGCAGCGACTGCTCCTGCAGCCGCAGCCGGTAAAGGCCGCCGACCTTGTCGCCAACAACGACTGTAACACCCGCTGCATTCTTAATGTCACATTTATAGGCACCAAACACTACCACAAATCCTTTTGCAGTCAGCTGGCTTACGGAAACCAAACCACCCAAGTAACCAAAAGTTCCGCATTCAACAGTTCCAAGTTCCATAAAGTTCAAATAAAGTTCCGACAGAACTTTCAATTTCCATAAAGTTCAAATAAAGTTCCGACAGAACTTTCAAGTTCCATAAAGTTCAAATAAAGTTCCGACAGACCTTTCAAGTTCCATAAAGTTCAAATAAAGTTCCTTCAGAACTTTCAAGTTACATAAAGTTCAAATAAAGTTCCGACAGAACTTTCAAGTTCCATAAAGTTCAAATAAAGTTCCGATAAAACTTTCAAGCCACGTGAAGCAATACGCACAAGTCTTTATTGGTAACAAAATTTAATGTACGTAATTATAAAATAATCAGTGGCCCGAATAAATCATAATTCTTATTTTTATGCAACATTCTATCAAAAAAAATAAATAAAAAGTAATTTCCTGGATACGAACCCGTGTATTCGGCATGTGATATACGATTGCTAATCACTGCGCCACAAGTGTGATGGAATACCATGCGGGCAAACACCAATTTAAATTTCATCAAGGTGTTGTGTTTCGTATTCAAGTCAGTCAGCTGGCTCAGAAAACTCCAACAATAGGCGGGACAACAGCTCACTTTAATATATTTCAGATGACGTAGCGGCTCGTGCTGAGACTCTCACGCAGAAGGGCTGGGTTTAATTCTTCAAACCAGCTCCATTACTACTACTAATGCTGATAAATCAATACACATTAATACCTGCCTTTAGAAAATAACTTTCATAAAAGTGCGAACTATAT